ATATATATAGTGTATCCACAATGGGACACAGTGTGCTTAAATGTATACTCACTTAAAAATTTGCTAAAGGATAGATACAAAAGCATTAACCATTTTTGTCAGTGGAAAGAATTTATATGTTTGTACAAATTTTTAAAGTTTCTACAATCGACATCGTCCCTATTTTAATATCACTTCAAAGTCTATGATGTTAGAAATTATATGTCATGCAAATGAAGAAGAGGAGGAAGAAAAAAATTAGAACGCAATTTCTTACTGATGAAACTAATTTGGTTTCTCCTTTAGCTCCCAAAGAGAAGACCACTTCTCACAAATGCAATCCTGGTTTTCCCAAGCTGCTTCTTGCATCATTAATGATACTTTTCCTGCTCTTGGCAGCCTCATGTCTTGTTGCTTTCATCAGTAAGTACACCAGCGGAATCAAAAAGCACCGTCTGCTCTAGACAAAGAGATGATGTCCATTAAAAACTGACATTTGACAACAGTTTTATTTCATCATTTGAACAATAAATTTTCTCTAGGGGTATGTAATTTATAGGAAACTATTAAGGATTTTTCTTTTATTTGGATTTAGTTACTTTCCTCTAAAAATAATGGAATAATTTCTCACTGGAGCAACTGAAGTGTAAATGTGTATATATGTGTTGCGTTATGAATGGAAATCTGTGGGGCACCATCTCTGTAGAAAGCCAGATGAATTTGAGTGCACAGACACTGATGTGTTGAGGTAATCAGTTGTACAGAAAAATGATTAAAAATATTCCAGGAGGCTAAGGATTTAGCTCAGTGGTGCCACCACCCACCTCACAAGCACAAGATCCCAAGTTTGATCTCTGGTACCAAAATAAAAAAGAAAAAAAAAATCCAGGACTTCTTCAGTGATATGCTTCTAGTTATTTCTATCCTACCCAAAGTGTGTGAGATATAAAAACTTATTCAGCAAGTATATGGATATCGATTTATCTAGCCTTTCAGAAAAATTCAAATTTGTACAAGTTTAAGATCATTAAATTTTCAAATACACATTTTATTCATTCATTTAGTCATTCAAGAAGTAGTAATAGCCATTTGCTATAATGGACAACATTTTGTAATATGTTAGGCAGAAAATCCAGAAACAGACACTTCCTTTGATTAAAAAAAAATTGAAGAGTCAAACACATCAGTGCTTACAGTACTGTATGGGAAGAGTTGAGCAGGTGACAAGTAGGCCCAGGAGACTGTGAGGGGAACTTCCTCCAGAAGGTGACATCTAGAGCTGTGCTTATTAAGAATGAGTGAAGATTCAAATTGCATTCTGTGCAGAGCTGCTTCTGCAAGTCTTACTGGCCAAGGGGAGTCTTATAGTCAATAGTGGAGAAATTGATGCCTTCCATGAATGGAGGAGACTCAAAGTCACATAGAAAGGGGTGTGGATGCAGGGAGGGTTGAAAATTGTGGGTGCTTTTTCAGTGTTTCATGGTCTTGGGAAGATATGGAAGAATTTTAAGAAGAAAAATGATACAATAAAATTTGACTCATAGAAGTATGTTCATACACAAGTGTGAAAATATATTTGTGAGGAGAAAATGAGAGGTAAAGAAAGAAGTTAAACTACTAATCTGTAATCTGATTTTAAAATAGAGCTTGACCTAAAGAGAATGTTAGTGAAGTGCGTTAAGTTTTGAATGAAAAGGAGACAGAATGACTGAGGCAGGCGCTGATGAATATTTAGATTTGTGGATTAAAAGTGCTGAAGAGGTGAGGTGTGACTATAATACCTTGACTTGGTAAACTCAGCAAACAAAGCTATTCAAGGAGGGAGGGACTTGAGCTGAGTAGCTAGCTTGGGTTGGAAAACAATGGTTTTAGTTTTAGGCACTGTGAGTTAAACCTCACTCGTACACATCTAGTGGGAAATGACCTCAGAAGCTGTGTATCAAGAATGAGTAAAGTAAAGAAGTAACACTTTGAGCATGTGGGGCACAGGATTGAGTGAGAACTGGGGACAAGGATGGAACTATAGGGAATGCTCCATTTCAAAAGAGGTGAACGGAGGAAGTGCGGCTTGTAAAAGAGTATAAGAAGCAGCTGCGAGAACAGGAAACAGCAGTGTCCCAAGAGGTGAGAAGAAAGAACTGTGGTCAAGCATTGCTTGACATCCAGTAGGAAGATGACCAATAATTGGCCCAAGAATGTTCTGCTTTTTGTGAAATAGTGGATGTAAAATCCAGAATGTGGTGGGTCAAGTAGCAAAGAGGAGGTGAAGGAAAAAGAGAAATTCAGTTTCTAAGGTAAAATTTGAGTTCATTTTCAATTGACTACAAGAGAGTGTGCCCTGAGGAGTGAGAGCCAGTTGGGATGGAGAGAAGTGAAAGAAAGAAGAAGAAAAGAATAATATGCTCTTGATCAATTTTGAGTTACTTTTAAATTCTTCCTTCTCTAAGTTAACCTAGAACTATTCATAATTAGCTAAATCTACTTTCCCACTAAGCTCCAGGCTGTTGAACCCTTAAGGGCAAGTATTTACCTGCCTTGACTCCACATCCCCTCGGATTTGCCTTTCCCGTATCTCTAAGAGCTGTGGAAGAATGTAGACAAGTCTCCTCAGACTTCCTGGGATGGAAGTGCCACATCCTCTTCCAACTCTTGATCTTTCTGTTCTTTCTGAAGACTCCTATGGTTGCAACGGTGGTAGGGTTAGGACTTCATTGACTGTGAGGTGATGGGAAAACTTTTCTGGTCAGACCCTTTCTACTCCAGTAATTGGGCTTTGGTCGATGTTTGTATGAAGAATGCAAGAAAGAGAAAAATGCAAGTAGAGAACACAGCCATAATGTGAAGGAGGAAAACAAATCATTCTTATTCTCTTTTTCAGTTTTCTTTCAAAAATATTCTCAGGTTCTTCAAGAGAAAACGACTCTCTTAGAAATATCACAGAAGCACCCAGAATTGAAATGTATGAAAATGAGTTCCACCACAGAAGGTAAAACTCACTGTGCGTAGAAGACCATTGCTGGAGGTAGCGTGTGAGAATCCCAAGTTAGTATCTTCATTAAAGGTTCCCAGGTAGCGAATACTAAGATGTGGAGACTTGTGACCATTATAAGCTACAAATGCACCACTACACAGAACCTGAACCTCTTCTCCACATACCTTAATTTGTCTGTGCAAGTCTCAGTTATGACACAAGTTATAATGCTTTTAGCCTTCTTAAGCTTTTGTTCATTTCTAAACTTTCTCTGTACAGTACTCTTCCCTTCCTATTCCTATTCCTATCCCATTTGGTTAAAATGATGATGATGACTTTTCTATTATGGGTACTTCAATTTTAAATAAATACCATATTTTAAAGGATTTTTTGTAGTTGTTGGAGAGATGAACATATGACACGAAAACACCCAATTTGAATCCCACCCTACACACAGAGTATTTCCTGTTATTAGCATGGACATGAGGGAGGGTGATTATCACTCCTAATGAACACATACTGATATATTATCATTAGTTAAAGTGCATGACTTTTTTCATCTAGAAATTGAACTAAAGGTTTTAAGCACACTAGGCAAGCACTCTACCAGGGAGGCACGTTCCCAGCCCAACGTTCATAATTTATTCTAACTTGCTTTTCATGACTTTTTTCTCTTATTACAATTCCAGGCAGGGAATTCTATTTAGCTATCATTTCTCTTCTATCTCCTGTTGTCTGTGATGGCTTAGGCTTTCCTTGTATTTGATGACCCAAAAAATTTTAAGGAATAGTGCGCTGATGTATTCTGGGTGTCTCTCTATTGCAATATAATGTTTAGAATGATTAGACTTGGGTTATTCGTCTTTGGGACAGGTCACAGTTATAAAATGCTGTTTTCTTCTCTCTTCATTTCAAGGTTATATATTACCAAAATGATGTGAACTATTAATGTTGACTTTGATCACGTAACTAGTGTTTGCCAGGCTTCTCCACCATAAAGTTCTTCGGTACTTTCCCTTTCCACACTGTCCTCACAGCTCATATTTCAGGGTTGTGGATTTATGCTCCCTGAGCTGTAGCTACAGTATTGTGTTACTCAGGATTGCCCAAAGAACAGAATCGGTGGGAAGAAAAGGAATATAATTTATTTTAAAGGTTGGCTAAGGTCTCACACTAGAAGACAGGGGACTGACAAGAGGGGCAGTTTGAGTCAAGGCTCTCTGCTGAAGAGCCAGCAAAAGCCAGTATGGTAGATGAAGCCCAGAGGTCGTGGGCTGGAGAGCTCCTCCTGCTTGTGGGGGGTTATGTTGTTTTATTGAGATTGTTAACTGAATGAATGTTTTTTACTCCCATTATGAAGGACAATCTTCATTCTTCAAGTCCAAAATTTAAGTGTTAATCTCACACAAAAACATCCCTGAAAAGTATCCATAATGTTTGACCAAAATAACACTTCTCATATTAGCCACCAGACATGTCTACAAAATTTATTTCAAATCGTAGTGACTGTGAGATCTGTCTCTTCTATTCCACTTTTAAATTTACTCCATCATCTTTATCTGCATGTACCCATGCATGCTTATTTTATACTACAGATTTGAATCCAATTGTGTTTCGTGTTTTCATTCTAGATTGGGTCTTTGGGAGCTCTTTCACTTGACTGTTCTGCCTGTTGAGATATTATCATTATGGAAGCTTTTTTTTGTTATACTTGCTGTTGTTTCCTTTTTTTAAAACTCTATTTATACCACACATTGTATAAACTTAAATTGTGCAGTTCAACAGATTCAAGCACACTACCAGAGTTTTATAACTTTAACCACAATCAAACTTAGGTCATTTTTGTTATTCCAAATAAAAACACAGTACCAGGCCAGGGATTTAGCTCAGTGGTTCCACCACCTGCCTCACAAGTGCAAGGACCTGAGCTCAATCCCTGGTGCCAAAAAACAAACAAACAAAAAACACAGCACCTACCAGATACCATCTCCTTATCTCCCCCACCTAAATCTAGGCACCCACTCCACTGAGCTACTCTGTGTTTTCTTAGATTATTGTATTTTGTGAATTTATTTATTCTCCTTCTCCTCCTTCTTTCTTCTTTTTCTTTTTCATCATAATAGACAATGCTCATTACACAATAAAGACCTTAACATATCCAAAGAAATGTAAATTCTGCAAAGCACTCTCACATCCTATTGGAATGAAACCAGAGACCAGCAGCAGAAACACTTCTGGTATAACAACTGTTCTTTTGTCCTCTCTTTATCCTATTAAAGTTTTTGTATAAGGGAAACCATAGGATGTTCACACCTGTGTGTCTCATTTACTCCACTTAACATTCTGGTCTAAGGGTTCATCCATTTTCCTAGGAATGCCTCGTTTATCTTTCTTAGCAGCGAAGGAGTACTTCGTGTATACTTGTACATTTTCTTTATCCATTCATCTGTTGATAGGCTTATAGGCCACTTCTAAGATTTAGCTACTATGAATTGTGTTGCTTTAAACAAAGGCGCGCACACACATCACATTATTGTTTGACTTATCACTTCTTTACTTTCTGGAGCTACAAAATGCTCCAGACTTGTTGCATATTTCTTGTCTCTGTTCTAAAATCAACTATTTCTCTGAGAAGCCCTGATTTTCTTTATGGAAGAAATGTTCATTGGGTTGTATTTTCATTTTTACTCAGGATGATAGGGTTTTTAAAAATATTTTCTTTTATAGTTCACAGAAGTGTATTATTTAGTTCCCACTATGTGGTCATTTTCTTGTATCCTTTCTCTTAGTCATTGCTAATTTGCTTCTATTGAGATTGGTGAACACTCACTGTGTGACTTAATTTATCTTATATCTGTGAGGTTTGTTTTATGTCTGAGTATGTTATCTATCTTGACATAAGCTCTCTGGGCACTTGTATATAAGAATGATGGTTTTTTTGAGTGGAGTGTTGTAAAATTGTTCATTAGTTTCTACTGGTTGATGATCTTTTGAGTCCAGTATAGTTCCTAATTTTCTGCATAGTTGTTGCCACCTATAATAACATATCTTTCAATTTCTCCTGTTTTTTTTTTGTTCTTTGGGGGGGTACCGGAGATCAAACCCGGGACCTTGAGCTTATGAAGCAGGTGGTGGCACCACTGAGCTAAATCCCTGGCCCCTCTCCTTTTTCGTTTTATTTTTTACTTCACTTATGTCACATTTCTGTTTGTTACAGGCATATTTAGGATCACAATATAAGGCTTTATTTTTCCTGCATCTATTCTGTTTCTGTGGTTCAATTTGCAATTTCTATTGTTTTTTCAGATGATTTCCTGATTTCTCTCCCTTCTTCATTCTTCTATTGAGCCCAACCACTGCACTTTTAAAAGATTATTGTATTTTCAATAATAAAATTTCCATCTGAATCTCCTTGACATCTTCTGTTTCTTTTCTAAGTCCTTCTATTTTTTCATTTGTTTCAAGAATAATTTCACTTCCTTGTAGAAGCATTTTTATCAAGGTTGCATTAAGGCCTTTCCCTCATGGTTCTGACAGTTGTAATCGTCTTAGGTGACATCTATTGATTATCTTTTTAAATTAAATTTCAGAGTTTCCTGGTTCTTGGTATGATGAGTTATTTCTTAAACCGTGGACACTTTTAAGTAGTGTATTTTGTCTTGCTTTTTCTGATTCTACTACAGCAGGAGAAAAGGGCCCTGACCCCTTATTATTTGATTCAGGTAAACTCGAGTTCCTTAACATCTGAGAGGTGGGCTTCTTGTTTTGTCCCCATGAAGATGTAAGCTTCAAATTCCCTGTGGTCTCCCTCAGTCCTTCCTTTCAATGATATATACAGCCTTGAAAGCACTTTTCACTTATATGTCCTTCTTTCCAATAAAGGAAAAGTCTTGAGCTGTTGCCCAAAGGACTGGACACCATTTAGTGCCCATTGCTACTTTGTTTCTACTGACTCAAAACCCTGGAATAAAAGTGCAGAGAGGTGCCGTAGCATGGCGGCTAACCTGGTGGTGATCAATACCAAGGAGGAGCAGGTACCATCAGAAATAATGCAGTCTGAGCCCTGGCTGTGTTGTGTCTTTCTCCTCTCCTTTTCTTCCTATTTCTGAATGACCATGGAGAACTCTGTTGAAACCTTACAGTGTATTCATAAATATGTACAATTATGTGTTAACATTTTCTTAAAGTTCAAAGAAAAGGAACTGTTAACCAAACTGACTTGGTCATTGTATACATATCACCAACTATCAACCGTACCTCAGACTTTTGTATGATTAAAATATGCATTTGGAGCTAAAGGTGTAGGGAAGGTGTGATACGTAGGGGAAGAACAAAAAGGGAAAAGAAAAAAATGTGAGAGAATGAAAAGATGAAAATAAAGTGTTTGTAGATGGGGAGGGGAGGAGGGGGTGAAGGGAGGGCAGAGGTAAGGGGAAAAAATGAGAATCAAGACTTGCCATGTAAAGGTACATGATCCCAACAATGAATGTAACTGTACTGTATCCCTAAAATGTACCAATAAACTCAATAAAATTAAAAAAAAAACATGAAAAATTGAAAGAAAAAAAAAAGAACAGAACAGCCAAATACTACAAAGGATATGACTTTTTCTCCTTTCATTAGAATTTCATCATCCAGCATCTGGAAGCAAGATCTTTATATTTTGTGGGGCTCTCAGATCCAGAGGGTCAGAGACACTGGCAATGGATTGACCACACACCATACAATGAAAGTGCCACGTGAGTACAGAGTTAGAGAAAGGACCCCGGGTCCTGGATCATGGAATGTTTAGGAAATAATAGCTACCAGTTATGGTACTGAAAGAGCTCATTCTCACTCTTTCTGGGTTTTTGTTGTTGTTGTTGTTTTGTTGTGTTTTTGGTACCGGCAGTCGAACTCGGGCCCTTGCGCTTGTGAGGCAGGCGGCGGAACCACTGAGCTAAATCCCCGGCCCCTCATTCTCACTCTTGTAGAAACTGTAGGGTACTGGATTAAAAATTTTCATCATTTTATTTCTCAAGTGAATTCAATGAGATATTATTTTTCCCACAATAGGTGAGAGAAAACTGAGTTAGGAGAGTGTAACTAATTCTGCTACTCTTCTAATATTTCATGTTCATACAATTGTTAAAAGCACTTCAATGCTTCAGTTATCACTGACTTTAACCTGCACGCTTATTGTGTCAATACACACTGACATTACTTCATCCCCAATTTTTTATGTGAAAGTTGGAAATGAATAAAATTAATTTTTTTTGCCTGAAATCACAGTAATACATTCTTTAACTCATTCTTGATATCTCCAAATCATTCCATTAAAAAATGTAATCACATTTTTTTTTCTCATTGAGTTTATTGGTACATTTTAGGTACACAGTACACTTACATTCATTATTGGGATCTTGTACCTTTACATAATAGGTCTTGATTCTCATTTTTCCCCTTGTCCCTGCTCTCCCTTCACCCCCTCCTCCCCTCCCCATTTACAAACATTTTATTTCCATTTTTTCATTTTCTCATATTTTTTTCTTTTCCTTTATTACCTTTCCCCTACACATCCCACTTTCCCCACACCTTTAGCCCTTTTCTTCCTATTTCACATTGTCAATTATCTCATTAGGATCTTATGTACTGTTATAGTTTGTTCACACCAGAGAAACTATTTGGTATTTACACGTGTGACTTATTTATTTCACCTAGGAGTATACCCTCAATATGTATCCATTTTGCTATGAATGAATCTAATTTCTCATTCTTTATGGCTGAGTAATATTCCATTTTATAGAAAAAACCACATCTTCTTTATCCAGTCTCCAATTGATGGGCAAATGGGCTCTTTCCAAGTTTTAGCTATTACAAACTGTGCCACTATAAACATGGGTGTGCATATATCACTGTGACATGATTTTTAAAATTCTTTTGGAAAGATACCCAGCAGAGGGATGGCTAGGTCAAGTGGAACCTCTAGTCCTAGTTCTTTGAGGTATCTCCATATTGATTTCCACAGTGGTTGTACCAGTATGTACTCCCACCAACAGTGGAGAAGGGTTCCTTTCTCCCCACAACCCCGCCAACAGTTGAAATCACATTGTTATTTGACACCTGGGTGGAATCTGTTCAGCACATAAGGAAGACCCACGCATCAATGGTCTCCTGGGGACCAGACCTCAGGTGGACAGGGAGAGGAGATCCTCTGAGACATCTTCTGGGAGGATACTCAATGCAACAAGCTGTGAGGACACTGTGTGAATTAGCACAGTTTGTGAGGGAAGCGCCAGGGATTCTGGTGGCGGGAAAGTGCAGGAGAAGTGAGGAAGAACTGAGTTGGGAATATTTGACCCTCACCTCTAAAGTGAAACCTACGGCCCCTTCTTATCTCTAACCCTTTTAAAGCACTGTCAAAATAATACATTCATATTTTTGTTCTAACTTTCAGATTCTGGCTTCGAGGTGAGCCCAGTGATAATACTGAGCGGTGTGTTGCACTAATCCATCGTTCAAGTTATAAACCAAATTCTCATCAGTGGGGCTGGAATGATATTTCTTGTTCTATATCACAACATTCAGTTTGTGAGATGATGAAGATCTACTTATGAATCAAACACTCTTGAGGAACCTGTGGTGGGATTGGCACCCATCATTATAGTGACAACTACTACCTTTTGGTTTATTTGTTAGAGGGTCATAGAATTTTGGGGTAGGAGGTCAGCTACTCCACTTATGAGAAAACTGGTCCACACATTTATTTGTCTGTTCATTCATCTTCTCTTCACAACGTATTTAGTGAGTATTTTCCATGTTCCATAGACTGCACTGGAGGCCTGTTTTGTGCACACATAGAAGGCTTTATTTTTAATGTCTACTTGATTGATAAGGGTTTATTTACTGATAAAATTTTATGATGTGCTCCCTCCACTTGGCTTTTTTTTTCTCTTTTTCTCATCTGGATGTTATTGATGTGTAATTGATGAATAAAATTATATATGTTTAAATTACACTATAATGTAATGATCTGATACATATATATATATGTATATATATACATATATATATACACACATATATATATATATATATATATATATATATTCTGTGACATGGTTACCACAATCAAATTTATTAAAACATCTATTACCTAACATTGCTAGCATTTTTGTGTGCTAAGATATAAGACCTCCACAAATTAAAATTATATAATATTGTGGTGATACTCATTATACTGCACAATTATTTTTTAGAAATTAATGAGCTTTTAATTCAACATTTTTATATTGATTAAATATCTTCTTTTTTCCCATACCCCTCAGTGCTTATCAATCATTGTATTTTCTGATTTTATTTTGTTGACTTTTCAAGGGTCTTCATATAAGTGAGATCATGCAATATTTATTGCTCTGTGTTGACTTATTTCACTCAATCTAATATCTGCCCAGTTCATCCATGCTGTTGCAAATAACAGTAGACATTTTATGGTGGGACAGTAGCAAGTATATAGAGAATATATGTGTTTGTGTGTAAAATTTTCATACTTTCTTCATCAATTCCCCTATGAACAAACAGACTGTCTCCCCATCTTCACCAATGTAAAAAATACTATAATTAACATGGAAACACAGATGGTTCTAAATAGTGCTTTTATTATTTTTGGACACATTCACAGAAGTGGGATTTTTTAATTCTATTTTGATTTTTGAGAATCCTCTATAATCGTATACAATGGCTTTATCAGTTTGCTCTCCAACCAACAATCCACAAAGCTTTCTTTTTATTCCTATCTTGTGAATCCTTAGCTGCTCATGTGATTGTGATACCTGTCATCCTAGCAAATGTGAGGTGATATTTGTTTCTGTTTGTTATGGTTTAAATCTAGCATGGCCCCCAAGTGTTCATATAACGGAAGCCTGGCTCTTGGTGTAGTGGCATCTTGTGAGAGGTTGTAAGTCATGGGCAGCATTGGTGATGCACCCTTGGAGGTATTAAGGTGGCCTTTCTGGGGCTCTGAATGGAGTCTTCTTTAGTTAATTTCTCCATCAGTGTTGTACAGCTTTCAGTGTGCAAATCTTTTGTCTGTGATTAAATTTACTACCAAGCATTTTCTTGTATTTGATTCTCTTGTAAATGAGATTGTTTTTTTTTTCAGATAGTCTGCTCTTAATGTATAGAGATACAATTGTAAATACTTATTTTGTATCTTCCAACTCTACTAAACCTATTAATTTGTCTAACTTGTGTGTGTGTGTGTGTGTGTGTGTGTGTGTGTGTGTCTGACCAGCTTTCTTTGTACAAGATGATGTCATTTTCAGGCAGAGAATTCTACCTCCTCCTTTCCTCTTACTTGGAGACCTTTTACTATCTTTTTCTTATCTGCTTAGGGCATCGAAATGTATGTGGAATAAACTTGCTATTGTTCCTGATCCTCTTGGTGATATTTCATTTTTTCACAGTTAAAAATGATGTGATCTTGTAATATTGTAGTCCTTTCTCTCTTGAGACCTACTCCATCATTTATTTTTCTGAGTATTCATCCCTAAATATGTTAAATTTTTTAAATGCTTTTTTAATCCACTGAACTTTTACCATATGATCTTTAACTTTCATTGTGTTAAGGTAGTGTATTCTATTGATTGATTTGCTTACCTGAATCACTCGTGCACCCCAGTGACACATTTCACCCCACTGTCTGATCTTTTTAAAGTGCTGTTGAAATAAGTTTGCTAGTATTTTGTTGAGTACTTTTGCATGTACATCTCTGGGATATTGCCTTGTAGTTTTCTTATATTCTAGTACCCATGTTTGACTTTGGTATTTGCATAATGATGGCATTTAAAAGGAGTTTCAACTGTTAATGGCAATGGTTTCATCTTTAAATTTTTTTTGGAGAGTTTGGGATGGAATGATCTCAATTTTTCTGAAATATTTTTTTTATTTCACCAGTGAATCCACCTCTTTTTAGGGATTACTTTTCTTCTAGTTTTATGTTTACAGATTTAAACTCCTAATTCATTGTTGGTTTGTTTAGATTTTATTTCTTCATGCTTCAGTGTTATTAGGTAGGATTCTTCTAAGGATATGTTCATATCATCTTCATTATTTTATTCATATGTAATTATTCACAGTGGTAACTGTTGTGATAATTGTTTTGTCAACTTTAGTAAGAAACACCCAACTGAATGGCTTAGAATAGCTGTGAGTATTATTGAATATTTCCTGAAGATGGAAGATCCACTCTGGATGTGAGTGGCACCAACTAAAAGGCGTGTATCCTGAATGGAATAAACTGGGCAAGCAGAAGGAAGTCTCACTTCTGTTTCTATGGAGGAGCTCCTGTCTCTGTCCTTGCCTTGGACCTATGTGTCCCGGCCTTCATCACAGACTCTTCAGCATTCCAGTGCAGACCCTCTGCTTCCTGATACAGACTTGTGTATGACTCTATAATAAGCTCCAACTTTTGATGGGGTCTACAGATGTACAGATGATGATTTTGCAAACTTCCACACCTGACAATTCAGGCAGACATTGTAAGCCTACCTTGTAAATATATACACGTATTTGTATATTGTATTAAATCTGTTTCTCTAACGAACACTGACTGATATAGATTTTGGTACTGGGAGTAGCTCTAGAGAAACAGAGTTATAAAGATGAAATTCTGAATTGCTCCAGTGGTTCCTGGAGTTGGCCTCTAATCTGATGAGACCTAAAGCTGTGATGGTTTTAAGAATAGGGTCACTGAGGCTGTGACTCACTCCTGTGGCAGGGGACTTGGCCCTGGCTATGGCTAGGGGACCTCAGCTCCTCATCATGTGGGAGACTCTGTAAGGATATTGCAAGTCCTCATAATGTGGTAGCTGCCTTCCAGTAGAGCAACACCTTTAATGTTACATGCTGTAAACTCCTCTGCCCTCCACTTAATATAATACAGGAGGAATTAACTAAAACTTTGAATGACAGAAAATAAAAATCATCGAGGTTCATCCAAGAGGCTAGCTACTCCAGTAGGGTTTCCTTTAAATGTTACAAAAATGTGTACCAAAAAAACCAAGTAATTAAAAATTCTACATTGAAATTATGGACTTGTGTTTGGAAAAACACTATGAAGAAAATGAGAAAAAAAATGAACTGGGTTCAGATATTTCATACATCTATAATGAATAGTATTACCAAGAATATATAAACCACAGTTAATAAAAAAGACAATAAAGGGCAAAATATAAAGAAAAATATATTCAATAAATATGTTTTAATAGAAATGTTCAGCTTCCCTTGCTATTTGAGAACTGTAAGTCATGATGCTGCATTTTTTATATCCATTTTAGTGGCAAATGTTAACAAAAAGATAATGTCAAGGGAATTAAAAAAAGAATTAAGACAAGCATGTACATGGACTTTATTCCTTATGATGAATGCAATCGGTGTGTACTGCTGAGGACCAAGGGAGACTAAGGCCTAATTGGCCTCCTCTGTGAGCACAAAGGATGAAGGCTGCACTCAAGGGCAGTTGCATATTACATAAAAGTTAAGATAGCTAAGTTTAAGTTGTTCATCAGAGAATGTACTGTGGGATAATGGAAACCAGATGAATCTTGCGTTATTTTGATTTCTTATGCCTGTGTTTTGGGTGAATAAAAGGAAAGTGAGCCAAAGCCTTTCAGCTCCTCTGCCTACTAGAGGTATGAGCATCCTGGCTGCCTGCTTGTTAAGCTGACTCTGTGTCTCTTTGTCATTCATCCTCATTCACCCTGGCTCAGGGAGGAACAAAGTAGTGGGTCTAGGGCCCACCAGGCTAGGCTGTCCAGTCGCCTGCAGGTAAAGCCCTAACATGGGGCTCAGGACCCAGAGTTGCCTACAACTCGCACCCTGAGCAGGGACTTGAGACTAGAGACACCTACGATGTATAGCAAACATATATTAATGGTCACGAAGAGTTGGAGTGAAGCAAGAAACAGTGAGGTTCCCAGACAGATAACTCTAACACAAAGACAGGAGCAAATAGCAGCTTGTTATGATGCCGGCAGCTCATGTTCCCTCAAGAGGGATGCATGTTCACTCAAGTTCTGAGAGTCACAGGAACGAAGTAATCAAACCCAAGGGAGAGGTTGTAGGAGTTCTGATTCATTGCAAGTCCATCAGAAGCATAGGTAAAACAAACAAGATCTTGGAACTGGCTTCAAAAAGGAAGGCTGGAACAGTCCTGGGAGCAAGCTCTTGACCTGTGAGATTTGATATGTCAAGGTAGTTAGGGTCAAAATTGAAGCGAATTAGAGGGTACACAGTTGCTGTGAGTTGCTGCAGAACTGCTGAAGAAGTCCTCAGACATTTTAGAATTTAAAAAAATCTTCTTGGACTGGGGATTTAGTGGTTCTGCCTCCTGCCTCACAAGGACCTGAGTTTGATCCCTGGTACAAAAAAAAAAAAAAAAAAAAAAAGTCTTCTGTCATTGTGGTGTGAGAGTAGAGAGGGAAAACGGATTCTTTGTTTTCTAAACACAATGTTTTATGTACCCTTTGGAGACTAGGTTAGTGAGAATTGGGGGCTCTTGACTGTACCTACAAATTCAAGTTCAGACAAAGTTGCTATGATGCTGTGAGCCAGAGGTTGCTGCCTTCATGCTATGATCACCACCTTTGTATCCCTGCCCACACAAGACTGGTGGCACTAGGTGACACTGAGTGATACTAGGCTACTCAGTACAGCCATAAATGCATCTGGAAATTCACAACTTGCTGCTTCCAAGCTTATATGAGTAACACACAGCTAACTTGGCTCCCAAGCTCTGGTAGGCACAATGAAAGGGGTAGAAATGAATATTGAATGCCAATTGTTTAGATTCAGAAATAAGCTTTAAGTACATTGTTATATTTGACCTACACATCTATCCATAAGTAAGAGGGACCTTGTTTTTTTTAAGTTCCCACCCTAGTTTGGAATCAGTTTATGCTAACCTCAAAGAAAAAGCATGATTTGCTTGTTTTTCTACTCTGAACAATTTGTTTGAATTTTCCTGTAAACTTCTCTGGAAGTACTGCTTGTTTAGAATACTTTTTTTTTTTTTACCATTTTCTTCTACAATTTTTAAATTTAAGATTTCTAACAGTTATTAATTGGTTTTACTACTATTTTTTATTTTCTATGAAAGCATGTATTTCACACTTTTAATTTACTTGTTTAAAAATGTGTATAGTGTATTTGTATAAATTTACCTACCCTTTCATTTGTAGAATATGTATTACCTTTATTAATAATGAATTTTCAAATGTTTCTTCCCTCTTTAAACTTGATCAACATAATTAAAGTTATGTTTAACATCCTTTAAATAAAAGAATCAGCTTTTCTGATCAAATAATATACACTATGTCACAGTATACTCTACGTAACATATAAAATAGTATAGTTCACTAATAGCTGCTGTTATTAATTAATTCTTCCTTTACATCTATCATGTTGTCTAGCTTCTTAAGTTATTGTGAAAGTATTAATATTTTTCAGTCTTTTGTTTATTAATAAAACACTAATGGCTATACATTTATTTGGGGCATCATTTTAACTAAATCTAACAAGTTACAAAATCTGATGACCTCACCATTTTTCACCTGCTCTCAGTGCTAATTGCAATGTTTTCCTTCTTAGTGTGGGAATTATCTACTATAATATTTTAAAATTTTTTCATGAGAATAAAAATATTTTAACTCTTATTTTTAAATTTTCTTACACATGAATGCAGCTTATCTTCCTGTGGGCCATTTGCCAAAAGACAATACACTTACTCACCATCCTTGGAGAAAGAGCTAATAGGTAGCATGTGGTTACCCTGTAATGCAGCAAGCAACTCTGCATGCTTTTTGTCTTCTAGCTCAAATTTAATCTTAGCTTCTTTTTTCTGTTTGCTCCTCCTGTATATCCTAGTTATGAAAAACAAATTTAGCTCTATTTAGTAGGGTGCCAGTGGGAATTCCAGGTTCTGAAGACAATGTCTTTCTAATACCTGGAGCTAACTCAAGAAATTTGTCTCCAAGGAGGACTCAGCCCTCAATAGACTGGGTATGGGTGGGGTCAGTGACCCTATGCTCTTGCCTATCCTCCTTAAGCCATTCAAGAAATGTCTTTGGTCTTTCACTTGGGTCCTAATGAATGGTAATCAGCTTACTATGGGTAACTAGTTGACTTTATGAGTTTTTGGTACTTCTAGAATGCCAATTATAAAATATCTGCAGTTTTACATATCATTGGAGTCATTATAATCCTACTTTGGACATCTATGGGTACATCCTTATCTAAAATATGTAATCATATGACTCCTGTGGTTACACAGGATCTTTCTGAATCTGTGAGAGTCTGTCCCAAAATATCATTGACGTCCTTCCAAGATACTTCATAACATGAACATGTTGGAAAGCTTGTGTATGTTTTTCAAGGTCATCTGAAAAACTACCCAAGTCCTGTTTAATATTCTGCTTAGAGAAATGTTCAGCTCTAATTGGTCTGAATCTACTTAGTAACTCTTTGTTTTTTGTTTTTGTCATTGTTGTTGTTGTTGTTTGTTTGTTTGTTTGTTTTTTGGCACCGTGGATTAAACTCGGGTTGTTAGGAGTTGACTCAAAAGATAAAAAAAATCATACAAACAAGAGATATCCACCTGATTAAGAAGTGCTATTACATTTGGGTCTAATTTTCACTGGGAACATAATTCAGAATTTTCCTGGATCTGGAGGTTTAGCTCAGAGGTTCTGTGGACTGCCTTGCAAGTGCAAGGACCTGAGTTCAATCCCCGGTACCAAAACAAACAAACAAACAAAAAAATCAGAATTTTCCTTCCAATAAGGTAAAAAAAGTTCGCACAGAAGATTCTTTTTATCACTTTCCTACATTTTTACAAAAGATAACTAACTGGAGTGTAATATCCTAAGCCTCTTCTTCATTGTCTGGGGCCCATAGTTGGGTAGGATGCATCTGAGAGTTACCCATCTGCTAGCAAAAAGAAGAACATCAGCTCAAAAAAGTGTCCTCTTTCTAAGAAGAAGGAAATGGACTGCGAGGAAGAGGAAACTGGCATCTTTTTTTATCTCCACCCATGGCGTAGGAATCAGATGTGACCTGTCTTGCCCGAATCCTGGATCTGGAGGTTGTGTTCACCTTAGAATTAATAGACTCGGGACACCTCTCACCAAAGGATGTATTAAATTATATCTGCAGGGCTTGCATCTGAGAGGCAAATTCATAAAAATTTCCTAAGAATTACCATCCGTGATGAAGAAAATAAACTTCTAGGGGAGCAAAAGCCATCACTTTTTCTCTGCATATAGCCTAGAAATCAAGTGCAGTGTGCCTTTCTGGAGTCCTGGAACTAAGAGGTTAGGATTGGGGTTATCTCTACTACTTCTCTTTATGCAACTAATAGACAATTCAGAATCCCCCTTGTGAAGAGAGGCACCAAGTATCTACCCTGTAGAATGTCTTGTGAGGGCAGGGGTCTACCACTCATGTCCCAGCGCACTGACTGATGTAAACCATCTATGTAATAAACACCCAAACATTATAACAATTTTTGAATCCACTACCACATAAATCAGATTTAATCATTACTCTCTACAGAAGCAAAAACACTCTTAAAGCAGGATTATCATGGCAAAGTTAGCAAAGCTATTAACAGTATGGCCCTTTTTGAGCAAAAGCTCATTGTGCTAGAAAGTGGTCACAGAGATAACAAATGGGCAAAAGCTGAGGCATAGACCCATGAGCATAATGCCAAATAAGTGCGATGGAAAGGCAACAGGCAGCATTCTTTGTGAACACAGCAGTCAGGACCATCATACTGACTGTAAATTACCTTACCCAAGATGTAAATTCTTGCATACAGAGGAAAAATTCCAATCCCATGGACTGTTGCAGTATACCATAAACACAAGAAAAACGAAGTCATGTAGTCCTAACCTGAGACAGATGGAAGGAGAGCGTGAGGAGTCTAACCTTCAAACTCACTGAATTAGCAATCCCAGTGATGACACCGAACAGATGTTATAGGGAAGCCAAGACCTGATGGGGGGGACCAGTCCCGCACTTCCTGGGTCTTCGTTTCT